AAAGAACGTTCTTCGAGCATTCCATCTAGCCACATCAAAGTCTTTAAGCTAAATCTTTCTCGTTTTTCAAATTGAAGAGCAATGAGCAATTTAGCTGTTGGTGGTTTATACACTCTTTTTTTATAGGAACTGGCTATAAGAAACGAGTACTGGGCAGTCAGAAAAAAACAAGAAACTTCAGTACTCGAAGCAAAAAAATTAAGAAACTATTAAATCTTGATAAAACTGAGAACAACAAAATTTGGTAAGATCCAAGAACATGATGGCCTAGAACTTGAGACACAAGGGAAATATAATAATATACTTCCCACGTCTAAATACAGCGTCAGAACGGAAGCGAATCTCTTGACGTGATAAAAAGGTCAGGAACATTTCACAACATCATTCATGACATCATAATTAAGAAACAGCGAGTATTGAAATTTCCAGAACATTTAAGAAACTGGAGCACTCAACATCGACCTTTGTTTCTTACAACTAAAATGAGTGTAGTCCAGTGGCGGAGCCACCGGAGGGAATGGAGGGACTAGTCCCCCCCCCCCCACTTTTTCAGAAAGTCGGTCCTTTAGATTCTTGCAAACCTGATAAGAAAACTTTGGGGGGGGTATGTACTTTATCTAGATCGTCACATTTAAATGACATTTCTTGGGAGATAAGAGTTGTATCCTCCGGAAGAAAATGTTTCAATCACAGGAAAGGGCGTGGTCCAAAAGGGCGTGGCACACCTTTTGTCCCCCCATTTATCCCAAGCTGGAGCCGCCAATGGTGTAGTCTGCCATTGGGTCTGGTTGCTAGAAGGAGTCGATTGGAAAAGAGATTCATTCTGTCTTCAAATGTAAAAAACAGAATGCTCTAGAATGTTTAATTATACATTGTCTTATTGGAAATAGCAGTATTGAAAAGATAAGTGAGTCAAGGAAAATAAATTTCTTGTACGAAGAAGGAATTACCGATCAAGATATTTTGAATGCAGCTTTCTAAATGCATCGATACTGTCAATATCATTATCCAGAATCTTGACAATAATTTTCTGAAAGTCATTCTCATTTCAAGAACAGAAAAAAATAAATTGAAGGTTGCAAGATGAATCAATCGTTGTTTCTAGTTTGAAGAAGAAGTAATCTATAGCACAAGAGAATCTGCAACTTTAGTGTCATAGTGACAGCTTCGATGTCTTGCATTCAAATAATCCTGCTACCAATCTCTCGAAGATCGTTTAAATTTTGTCAGCATAGGATAATAAAATCCACTCTTAGAAATATACAGACAAATCTAATTGGTTATTTGAAGCTTGAAAGTTGCGAGTGAGGTAAAATATATTTGGTAGAGAGAATTTTCAACCGACTTTTTCAGCGATATGAAATGTTGAGTTTCCTACCCTATCTGAGTTCTTATCAATGCAACGTATAATTAATGGACGTTAAGAACTGATGAAAATTCTTTCCAAAGAAAACGCTTCTCACAACGTTAAAACTACGGTGCTAATAAACGCTTTATTACACAGTGTAATCAATGCAGTGTAATATTCGGATGGATTAAACAATTTTCTTTACTCTTAGTGCATTGATGGCCGAATTGTAATTTCCATTTCTGATCTTACGTTTTACACCAATATTTTCCATCAAACATTGACAAAAGGATCATGTCTGACAACCAATTTGCTCAGGAATATAAAAACAAAAAGAAAGAACTCGATGAAAAATGCGCAAATTTGGCGCCAAAATTGAAAGAAATGGCTGCTGTACAGGAGCTTTGATCTCCTTTGAGCTCGCAAAGCTTGGCTTATGAATATCAAGACCCGCTTATCCTCACTGGTGGTAAAATTCATATTTACAATTGAAACTTTCCGCTGGAGATTGAAGATTTTCCTGCACTTTTTTGTAAATGAACGTGACAATGGTTAGAAAGTTTCTTAAAATCGTATCGTTCCTTTGCAAATACACATATAAGTAGTCTGTCTACACTATTTTTTACAAGAACCAGTCAATTCAAGTTCAGGCTGACTGTTCTCAAGTCTTTCGAAAATCTGAGGCTGGATTGTTCTTAATTTGTTCTTAATCTAATAGGGCGTAAGCAGTGCGAGTGCTAGCTTTTTCGCTCTAGGGTGGTGTTCAGGCCTCATTTGCCAAAAAAGTAAGTGAGACAGCCTTAATTTGCTGACAAATTTGAATATTTACCGAAAAAGCATCCACACATCGCTAAAAATCCTCGATTTTGAGAAAAACGTTGTTAAAAATTGCATTTTGCAGAAGCTCAGCCTCAGCTTCTTCTTAATTTGCCCTTAACTTTTGACCAATTTTGAGGCTCGTGTTCTTATAAAATTGTTCTTATAAAAGAAGAGTGTAATGGTGGAAGGCAACATTAGATTTGAAATAAAATTGAAAAGAGTGCATGCAAACTAATAGAATATGACAGAGTTTTCTTTTTTTGATTTCAGTCATTTTGAGCTTTTAACTGTATCAACTACAAAAAGGAAAGGTAGAAAAATTCTCGAGTTTGGGTCTTGTTATAGATGAAAATTGATAGACTATAAAAAATGTCAGTGGCATCCACTTTGAAAAATTGTGAAATGTCTGCTCCCTACTTTTTGCAAGACAAATGAGCTTAATGAAAAAATAATGTGTTTTGATTCTTAAGGTTTCATTGCCCCCAGTATTTTTGAGCCCCTCCCTGTTCACACCCCTCAAATATTCTATTATAAAACTACATCCTTGCTTAGGTAAAAGGGGCCACAACGAACATTTCTTGCATTAAAATTTTATATTGATTCAAACTGAATTAACAGAAACTTCAAAAATGCTGACAATTTAATTTTTTGTACCAAATTCCTAAAAATGGTTCTAATGATACCTTGCCTGCCATCATTTCAAAGTATGGTCAAAATTCTCACATAACATTGAAAGTGCTTTTCATATCAAATAACGAGGACTTTGTGACCATAATCAACCCAATATTCCAATCTAAAATTTTTCCATCAAAAACTCCATTATCAAAATTCTGATGGTTTCACCAAACTTTCTAAAGACTGCATTAAATGTTAGCGGAAATAATATATTCTATTAAAGCAAAATAAACACTTAACATGATTTTATAAAATAGCAAAGTAACTTAACGAAAGCTCTTGAAAAATTCTTCAAAGGACAATATTTAACCCACTCTTAAGGCTCCGCAGGCGAGCTTGTGTTTGCTTTGCGAATATATAGTATCCTCTTACTTTTGCAATTTCATCCCTTAAGAATTTCTGTGTAACCTATCCTGGATTCCATAAATCTTTAGTTGACATTGTCAGTAGACTGTTGCAAAAATAACCACAAAGTATTATTTGTTAAGACAGAATTCGTAAGGAAAACTACGGAGTTCTACTCCATGGGTATTCCAGTTCTACTCCAAAAAACCTCTCCGAACATTGAAGAATTATCCTCCTACAAGGGCTGATACTAGAGATAAACATTTAACCAACCAGAATAAAGAGATATTAAAAACAAGTGAAAAATTAATCCATGTCTAAAGATGTATTGCCTAATTGGCATTTACGTCAGAGGGACGTCAGATGTTTTCGCCAAAAGCAAATTGTGGAAAACGTGAACCGGTACGAACCCTGAAATGACGACTTTCGAGGTTTTATAATGTATGTCAAAGGAACTTTCATACCTGCATTGTAGGCTTCTCTTTATAGCTAAACTTCATCTCAACCTTAAAGGCTAACTGGCCTAGCCACAAGCTACGAACTTTATTCAGGTGTGAGGTAGATTGTGTGAGCAGAGCTGCCTCAAGAGGGAAGGGCATTCAAAGAAAGTTTCAAAGCTTTGTACGTGCATAAGCAGGTAAATTTTTGCTTTGAAAAAACGATAAAAATTTGAATAAAAGAATAACTTCCATGTCCCTACAACCCCCGATGTATTTGCAGAAATTCTAAAGCGCTTTGGGAAGCCCTACGACCAGCCATGATTCTAGAAGAACGTCAAAGTGTGCTGGAAGCCACAGCATATGGAAACACAGCATAATAGTGATTCCACGAGGAACACTTCTTGCCATAAAAAATGGGAAAATGAAACCTTGATGTTCGGATAAAAAAAGGAAATTTTGCAACTAAGAGAAACCTTTCGGTTTGTCACAATAACTTGCGTATGAAGAATCTGGAGATAACCTGTTGATTCAAAATTTGCCATAACGGCAGTTTTACCCATTATCACGAACATATTTGTACCAATTCATACACAACTAATGTCGAATACTTGTAATGCCGAACACTTTGAAATATACTACTACACACGACCCTTAAAGTGTTTTACTAACTTTCGGACACTTTCAGAAATTATTTTGGGATAATGTGAATAAAGTTGAAAGCTTTTAGGGCGTATGGGGCCCAGGAACTATCATAGACGTACTCAATTTCAGCTATTAATGGAAGGTATTGATAACGAATTGGGTTTTCTGACGTTGGTACAACTGATGGTCTCTTAAAGAAAAAAACACTATGAAATTGTAGTCTTTGACAGTGAAAAATGTCCATTTAGGCCCTATTATAGAACATAATAATCATGGCGTCTAAACGTTTAGGGGGAAGGGGGCTTAGTATGGGTCGTACACGGATATTGATGGTTCATTAAGATAAAATTGCCTAATCGGCCTGAAAAATAAATGAATTTGCCTATAAACTAAAAGTACTCAAGAAGCTGAAGTATTCGAACGTCCCGAAAGAATGCAAATTCCTGACGGAAAGCAAAATGAGTCCTTCCAACTTTCAGCTCATAATCAATATTTTTTTGTAGGTTTCCACATGCGGTATTCCTGGTCTCGTTTGCAAGCCGAATTGGAGGGGTGATCCGTTATAATTTTGCAACACCACAAAAAGCTTTGCATGAAAATGCGGGTCTCTCGCGCCTGAGCTGCCAAAGTGCCCCTTGTGGCTCTCTAGAGAGCAAAATGCACACCTCATGTCCAAACTTTACATTGGGACAAATAAGAGACTCACAAGTAAAAGAAGAAATTAAATTAACTGAGTTTTGCATTGAAAATGTAATTGCAGATAGGGTTAAGAAAGATCTGATTGATTTCCAGGTGAGCGTTTCGAAAAATGCGTTAATTTTACATTGTAGACGTTTTCCCACCATAAGATCAATACACAATTATCATTAATCCTCGTGTTTATATGCTAGGTAGGCAATATGGTACGTTAGGCTTGTAAATAATTGCTTTTGTCATGCAAACATAATATTTCACAGTACATAGAAAACTTAAGTGAATTTCATATAACTTAATAATTTCAAAGATAATGATTTCCAATGAGACTGGCATTGTTACTATTTTTTATTCAGAGCAAGTAGTTGTACCTTTATTCGTTTTATTTCCGCTAGAAACCGTATAACTAAACAGAACATTTTGCTCGGCAAGTTTTTAAAGCTACAATTCTACTGAATTTCAATTCAAGTCTCAACAAATTACAAATGTGATGTCGTCATTAAAATTGCTTAGTTGTGGATTAACTATATTCGAATTTTTACCCTTCTACAATTTAAATTGAATTTTTCAAGTCCTATAATTTGAGTAATCCATGCACTCAGCACCATGAAAAGAATGGAAGTTTGTTGTGGAAACTCTGAACAAAACTGTGCGCCCTGCCATCTCGAGTGTCCGTTCCTCTTCGTCGCTGTACATAGACAGAGGGCATTTGAACTAACTGCGCAGGAGATTTCCCCTCTCTAATCGCTTGGGCAAGATTCAAAATCTACGGCAAAAACATAAAATTAAGATGGTCATTTTTATTGTAAACAAAGTTTTGAAACGATTTCACTTCTGACTTCAAACGGAATTTTACACATTTAATTGTTCAACAAATCTAGGTTGGTTGTAGAAAGATTAAGACGTTGCAGGAACCTAAATACCGTAAATAAACGATCCCACTATGTACTCGAGGGAAAATGAAAAACCAATATATATTTAGAATTTTCTCATACTTTCTGTTGTCAACATATATTTTGCAGAACTTTTTGTCTCAAACAGCACATAAAAAATGAAAAAAAAAATAAACAATGATAAAAACTTGAATTTGAAAGCTTCTATATTGATTCCATTAATCAGCTTTCAAATCAGCAACAGCAACGGAGAATGCTTTTTTATATGATACCCGACGCCTCTTCTCGTAGTATTTTCAAAAGGCAATATTAAGGGTATCCAATAATTCATATTTCACAGCCGTGGTTCGGTTGAGCAAATTTGTTATGAACCTCCCGCATGTAGGAATAATAAGGACTATATACCTAAATTTTCTAAAAAACATTTAACTAAGTATTCAACAAAGAACTAGCGATCTCTACTCACAAATAAAACTGACAAAGAGACAATAAAATGTTGTGAAATAAGGGTCTATTGCTTATTATTGTAAACCAATTTCAATTGCTTGAAATCGCAGGAACAGAGCTTACTTGGAATCGAAATCCACAGAAAATGATCCTTGGACAGAAAGGTCGTCCTATAAATCAAGCTTGATCGCTGACACATGGAGATGTCTTCGAGTATCGAATGGAAATCTCAAATGCAGTGTTTCTGAACGTGAAAACGTAATGTGGAAGTATGCCGAGCTATTGCCATCATTGGGGTATCGTTGCCAGGGACGCCGAAGAGGGAAGGGTGCGGGGGATCAACCACCCCTGTTGCATTTTGATAGGAGGGGCAAGGCTTTTGTAGGAAATCATTTTTCAAACTTGTAAAGAAATTTCTTATGCCAAAATTTAGCCAATTTTGAAGATACTGACAGAAGATCGAAACAAAATGACAGTTACGAAAGAATTGTTGGTAGCTGGGAATTAATTTTTCAAATGCCCTTATACTCAAGCGCACCCCCTTCCCCTTGATCGTTCCGGCGTCCCTGATCGTTGCATTAGAACATGAATTGGTACTGGCTTCTCGAATCTTGAAGGCTGGTTTTCAGAGAACGCCCTTATTACAAAAAACAGCAATCAAAATAAAACGCCCGAATTTATTACACCACTCCTTTCTCTGGATATAATTTATAGATATCATTCTGACAAAACTTTAGCCTACAGATCTTTCACTCTCCAAAGCTTTTCCGGCGATAAAGTTAGAATTTAGCAGGGGATTTCCCTGTCAGTAGTGATGACCTGTGGCGGGGAATTTTGAGTGCACAGCCCAGAATGGCGCTCATTCAAGTTAGGGCGGCCAATCAAAATCACAGAAACAAAGCTAACAGACCAAGCCTGGTTAGTTATTCTCTGAGGAAAATTTAAATGTTTGTGTGAAGAATTTGATCCGAAGAAGAATAAAGGCTTTTTTATTCGTTTGTGTGTGCAGTATTTCAAAAAAGGTTTGAAATGTGAGCGTTAATCGATGTGATGTTTTCAGGACTGGGGACGACCCCTTTGAGAGCATCGAAATAACATAAAGCTAAATCTAGTGGCAAAATATATCTCACAAAACAAGGAAGGTAATAATGGTTCATAATGCACTGGTGGAAACACCTAAACCTGATTGATCAGATTCAGAACCGAAAAAATCACCTTGGAAGCGGAAAAGAAGTCTAAGATTGGCAGTTTCCCACACGTTCAAGCAGAGAAGGAAGGGGTCAGAATGTTTTCCATTGTTTGAGTGCGTCCAGCGGATAGGGTGGGGTTTACAGCTAGCAGAATAAAATCAGAGTATTTCAATGATGACCCCCGAGATTCACTTATCGCTGTAACAACCAAAAGTTATTCGACGAAATAACCGCAAAATGAGATAATTTTCAATTTGATAAATTATATTTCCCACAAAATAACAGACTCAAGTTTGACTTGAATTATCCAAAAAGCTAAAGAAGCAGTGTAGGCAGCTTTATGAACCGGATTTGGAAGTTCAAAGGGGTCTGTTAGCAGACAACTCCATCGGTTAAACTGGCCAGGCTAAAGAGCTGACTGGTTTAAAAACATTTGACAAGGGATAAAGAGCCAAGACAATATTTGCAATGATATTTAAGACAATTAAACGTTACTACAGCCACAAAAAGCGTGGGTTACAAGCACTGGAACATTTCTTACGACATAGAATAGAATGATTTTAAGTTTTTTTTTTCTTCACTTTCTTTTGAGTTAGTAAACATATACTACTGGCTATACTAAAGCTAATTAAAACCAACATTTTGTTGACACTACGTGGCTTATGAGTACTGGAATATTTCTTGCAACATAGAATGAGTTGATTTTAAGTTTTGTTGACTCTACTTGCTAAAATATCACTCTAGGTTGTTTATAATAAATCTTAAATAGGAAAAAGAACGGCGAAGAACAGGATATGGAAATGCACATCATGTGGAGATATCCCTATATGTTTAAGAAAATTCGCGAAACAGAAGCTTAGGTAGAAGACAGTTAAAGGGACAGTAAATACAACATCAAAAGGCAATATGAAAGCAGGGCAGCTATCCAGGCAAAATCTTTAATGCCCTTTCTCTAGCTCTATAGTGAATAATCATCTACATTGGATTGGGATGCCGAGAAAAACAGGCTACATACGAGGGGCAATTAACTCTTGCAAATAGTGATTTCCATCAAAACAAAAGGATTTATGGGGATTCACCGATAAAACAAAAGGATTTCTACCAATGGTACACGAAATATCCGTGGAGTGATTTGCCCCTCGGTCTCATATATGTTATGCAAGCGATGACCTATTTAAAGATTTGGGATGGCACTACATGGTAGTATTCAACTATAGGTATCACCAGCTATGCAGCCTTGTCGAAAAGAGAGATGTGATGTACATGATAGACTTTTAGAAGAAAGGCTTTGAAAGCTACTTCAGTTACAATACCGTTGTTGGTGAGTTAACTGTGACGTCAAACCGTTGTCATTCGTCCTTTATTGGCTGCCTTTTTGCACGTGCTACACTAACACCGAGATGTACCACAGCAGTATCACACTTGTAAAACCCGCATTTAAAATTTTGCCGCCTCAACCCCCAGAAAAATATTAGGTAAGATTTAAACGGGGAATTTCTCATGACCTTGTGAAAGTCCCTATGCAAAAAAGAATGTGAGAAAGCCATTAACAAAAGCAAGTTATTAAACACACTTGAACTCAAAATCGGATCTTGTTTCAGCGTGTGCTTTATTTAAAGCACTCAAACTTAAGGACTCAAAAAAATGAAATAAATTGGACCCACCTGTCCTCGCATAACTGACATTTGTCGCTCAAAGTGATTTCTGTCAAATCCTTTGTCTTCCTAAAATTGAAGGAAATTCAAATTTTGATTACTTTTCTGAGAAAAAAAATGAGAAATAAATATCTAAGCTGATTTATTGGCTTGCGTCAAAGGGCTTGATTGGATTATTTGAAAGATATCTGATTGGCTGGTTGCTCATTCAAAAACGATTTGGTTCTTTCGGAAGGCACTGCACTGGATAGGTGATAGAAAAAGAGCCCAAATTGGCGGGAAAGAGTGACCAAACGAGGGACAGCCACGAGGTAGGAGGGCCCAACCCTGTATAAACAAGCAAATGCCTTCAACAGGGTACAGCATGGAACCTCGAAAAGGACGTTTGCTTCCAAGATACAGAGGTGGTAAAGGAGAAGTGCAACGGAAGGCAAAAGATTAACCAATAATAATTTGACTTATATACCGAAATCTCAAGAAAACTACTTATATTAATATTATCTATATATCTAGTACCCACGTTTTCACTTCGAGAAATAAAAAGGTCAATGTTGACAAAAGTTTAAAAAAGAAGCCTTATAACATGCAATTCTGATGAGAAAAATCGTTTAAATAAATACAGTTTTTAATACGTATGCCTATACGAATTTCAAGCGACAAGTTATTTAGAAAGCAAAATTTAAGTTTCAGAATGTTATGGGCACAGAAAGGTCGTAATTTCTTAGGGTGGAGGTCTACAGACCCAAAGAAATAAAGTTCGTGTCCCTGCCATGGCCAACCTTCAACTTAGAATGAGGAGAGTTGCCAGCTCTTTGTAATTCCGGTCGTAGTAATCAGGAGGTGTGGTCACATCGAGAGCAAAGGACCAAGGTACCATCCCAAAAGCACAGCTTCAGCAGGGATAGAGTGAGCACCATAAGATCTTGTCATACATTTACTTCTAGCAATGTTTCCCGTTTACTCATACGCGGTTATTACGCGTTTGGTGAGTTTTTGTGTCACGGTACGTTTTGCCATCGCGTTAGCGTCTTTGCCCTTTATTTCATTGCGGCTTGAGGAATTTCGCTTCCTTTTTTCACGGTTTCGCGGCCTTTTGACCCCTATTATAGCCCCCCCCCCCCTTAAAAGTACCAAATTATTTGACAAACAAGGTCGTGTTTTCTTTCAAGCGTTCGATAACCTCTCTACATTCAAAAGAAAAGTTCGTTTTCTCTGTAGAAAACTTCAACTATGTGATGGGTAGGCTATTGTTGGTTGGTCATAAAACATGGAACCAATCAACAACCTCTTCATCTTCTAGTGTAGATTCTCTTTCCGAAACAGGACATAAACTTTCGCTTTCTTTTAGCATTTTATCTGGCATTCTTTACTCTAAGGAACGCTATTGTGAAGTTCTGTAGTACCAGAATCTCAAACATAAGACTATGAATGTTTTGCAGGGGTATTGAATAGTTGTGAGACTTTGGCAAGCTATTCTTGATATCAAGTACTGGCATTAGACTCTTAACTCCTTTCGTATTTGTATGTAAATCTCGGTTTATTTCAAAACTGCCGCAATTGACAGACGAGACGCTCCCCATAACGCAGTGACACGCATCCTTTGTGCAGTGGATTCTGGCTGCCATGGCAACATAATTATGAAACGCTAAATTCTAATTTTATGGGTTCAGCTTTTATTGTTGACATATACCCGAGTTTTAGGGTGACACAGAATTCAATGCCTAGCTGAACTTTAAAGAATTAGATTACTTTGAAGTCAAAAGCGGATTATGGAAAAAATTATGGAAAATTTTTCATTATCATATTGTGTAACAACCAAATCATTGTGTCAAACTGACACTTGAAAAATATCTATCTTTATATCTATCTTTATGGTCACTCATTGCTCTATAAAAATTAAAGGAAAAGGTCACTTGACTTAAAACACCCAAACCAGAGATGTATCATTTTCTCACGAGATGAACAGAACTAAAAAATAACCTGACTGGAACTAAAATGGTTTGGCTCTTTGCCCTTTCTGTGAATCCTACAATTCTTAAGTACCTTGATATCTCTTAGATTATGGGAACATGTACCTTAGGATTTTTCGCAGCAGACGAACAATACTTGTACACAAACAGACAAGTATCTCTGTCCTCTGAACATCTTGTTAAAATTTCAGTGAGCTGGGTGTAATCACGTTGGGTTGCGAGATAAATGATGCATGTTTTCAATACGATGTGTTTATTTCTCTGCCACTATTCCGGCGTGTATTTTGTCTAGCAGTAAAATTCAGGATATGCTCATTCTCACACGGAGAACAAATCTGAATAAATTGTAAGGATAATGGTTACTGCCTAGAAGATTGGTACGGGTTGTAGGAATGGCGGTCGGCATTTTGCATGAAGGATACATTTCTGCCCTGGGATTGACAAGGCAAGAATTTTACAAGACTTTTTCAAAAACCCGTATCTAAGA